TTCTTCTTAGAATTGAGGAAAATGTTATTGGAATTGGACTTGCTATTGTTTTGACTCTGATTATATTTCCAGTTTTTGCGCTGGATTTACTTAAAGAAAATATTCAAAGTTAGTAAATAATCGACATCGATCTTTTAATAAATATATATTTAGATACGCTCGAAGCTTTTCGTGATAGTGTTAATTCGATACGATCAATTTATAATAAATTAATTCTTGATAAAAATCCAACTGGAATTTATTTCGATATTGAGAAAGACAAAGAAGTCGAATCGTTCTTTGCAGCTCAACGAAATAATTTTTATCAATTTATTACAACTCAGCGGGCCGGCATTCAATATATCGCAGTTGAACCCACTTTTCTTTGGATTAATAACTTTTCATCCAACCATTATACAACACTTATTGAACAAGAACTTGATATTTGTCAAATTTTACATACTATCGATGCAGCGGTAAGTTATTCCGAAAGATTTTTTCTTTACCTACTTAAAATACAAAGAATTGAAATAAATACTGACACGCCTTTTGAATTCTTTACACGTTACTTTAATTTAGTTGATGAATATTAATGAATTTTTGTTTATCGATGAAGACGAAATACATTCAGTCGGAAAGGAATTTTTCCATCGATTCTGGAAGGAATTGTCAACTTTAAGTAGTCAATTAAATGGTCGTTTTGATATGTGGTCATCTTATTTTAAACTTAGTCAGACACGATATCATCGACTGTTTAATGATGGTATTTTTTATAACAAGGAATTATTTGAAATTGAACTCTTAAAACAAGATTCATATCTTGCTGAATTACGTCAAACAGTTCATCGCCTTGAAAATGAACATCAAGATGGTGTGGATCAACTATTGAAACGTTTTATCGATCTATTAATTCAAGGAGGTACACCTTCCAATTTTCTTCCATATAAAAAAAAACGATCAAAATGATTTGATTATAATCGCTATTTCAACTATGTGCTATTCAACAATTAAACTTGTGAAATCAGCAATTGATCTTGGTACAACTATTCATAACAT